CCTGGCACCTAGGAGGCACTCAGTAAATGTTTCTGAATAAATGAGTGACTCCAAAGATGACAGCTTTGGTATAGACACATTCATGCTAGAGTAGGAAGGGACAAGCATAGAGCCACATCTTCCAGGAGCAGGAAAAGTAAGATGGGGGCATTGGCTATGCTTCCTCTCCCTCTAACCTCTAAGCTAATGGCAACCTAAGCAGGGCACAAGGGCAGGGAAGGGGTGAGGAGACAAAGTTTGAGACAAAAAACTGGCCAGCATTTGAACCTTTGAGATGCTGGATCACTTTGACAAATTTACTAAACCCCCTGGAGACTCAGTTTCATCATATGAAAAATGGGGATAAAAATACTGACCTCATGAGGCTGCTGCAAGAATTAAGTAGGATAATGCATAGAAAGCACCTGGCACAGAGACCGCTGTCATAAAAAGTCATAGTAGACCCTCATTTTTCACTGGACATGTGTACATTGAAAGACAGCGTGCACGGTGGTTATAAGCAGAGACCTGGAGCTGGACTGCTGAGGTTTGAAACCCAGCTTTGTCACTCAGAGCCGGCTGGACTTAGGAAAGTCACTTAATTGTTCTGTGCCATAAGTTCCTCATCTGTGAGAAATAGGATAATAATAACGCTTACCTCATCGTGTTGCTCTGAGGATTGAATCAGTTAATTAATGTACACCGCTGGGAACAGTAGCTGGCACACAAGCACCGTGAGTGTTAGCTATCATTATTACTGTCTGCTAGGCATTATCATATCCTTATCACCCTGTGATCCTTCTAGGACTGGCGGAAACAATGAAAGGATAGACAGGAACAGACAGATGTGCTGACATGATGATGGAAGATGTTGAGTTGGATGGGCTGGTCGGTGTCTCACTGCAACAATGCTTCTCAAACCCGAGCATGGGCCGGACTCTCCCTGAAGGCTTGTTAGAACACAGTTCGTGGAGGCCCACGCCCAGAGTTTCTGATTCAGTAAGTCTGGGTGGGCGTGAGATTTGGCCTTTCTAACAAGTTCGCAGGTGGTGCTGATGTTGCTGGTCCAGAGACCACACTCTGAAAACCACTCTCATGAGATGAGAAAGGACGTCAGAAGCTCCAAGGGAAGGAAGAAAGAAGAACGCATAAAGAGCTAGGAGTTCTGAAAGTCTCAAACAGGACTGCATTATGGACACTAGCAGAAAGAGTCATTTGTTCATTCATTTGTTCAGTAAATACTGACTCACTACCCACGGTGAGCAGGGCCCTGTATTCACCAATCATTTTCAAAGACAAGGATTAAGCTGAGCAGAAACAACCGTGAATTGGAGAAGACTGTCAGTTTATTGAGTTAAACCAGAACAGCACTAAAGAAAGAAGCCATATCCCCATGAGGCCTGACTTTAAGCATCATCTTTTAAAATTGTGACGAAATATACATAAAATAAAATTTACCATTTTAATTTTTTTTTTTTTTTCTGTCTTTTTCGTGACCGGTAAGGGGATCGCAACCCTTGGCTTGGTGTCGTCTGCACCACGCTCAGCCAGTGAGTGCACCGGCCATTCCTATATAGGATCCAAACCCGCGGCGGGAGTGTCGCTGCGCTCCCAGTGCTGCACTCTCCCGAGTGTGCCACAGGATCGGCCCACCATTTTAATTGTTTTTAAGTGTGTGGTTCAGTGGCATTAAATACATTCACATTGCTGTGCAACCATCACCACCATGCATCTCCAGAACTTTTTCATCTTCCCAAACTGAAACTGCATACCCATTAAACAATAACTCCCTGTTTCTTTCACCCCACAACCCCTGGCAACCACCCTTCCACCTTCTGTCTCTGTGAATTTGACTATTCTAGGTACCTCATATAAATGAAACCACATGGTATTTGTCATTTTATGACTGGCTTATTTCACTTAGCATAATGTCTTCAAGGTTCATTTCACCCCACAACCCCTGGCAACCACCCTTCCACCTTCTGTCTCTGTGAATTTGACTATTCTAGGTACCTCATATAAATGAAATCACATGGTATTTGTCATTTTATGACTGGCTTATTTCACTTAGCATAATGTCTTCAAGGTTCATCTATGTTGTAGCATGTGTTAGAATCTCCTTCCTTTTAAAGGCCGAATAATATTGCATGGTTTATATATATGATGGAAACGGGTTGTTATTATCAATAGCATATTATTCGCAAAAGATGGAAACGGGTTGTTTCCATCTTTTGCGAATAATATGCTATTGATAATAACACTGTTATGAACATTGGTGTACAAATATCTGTTCCCATCCCTGCTTTCAATTCTTTGGGGTATATACCTTTAAGCACCATTATGAAGCAGACAAATTTTGTTTTGGTGAAGATTATGTTCACAGTCCCACCACCACCAAACACACTTTTCCCTTCCTAGAACTTCATTCCTCTTGCCACTCAGGTACCCAGCTCTCTCAGCTGCAGGAATCTGATAAATCTAGTAAATTATCACAAATTCAGAGGATTATATGTATTAAAATCTAGGCTGAAAGCATTCATGAATCTTCCCTTCCCTGTAATGGCAAACTTACACTGTCCAAACTTACTCTGTGCCAGGAGTATGTTCAGTATTACAGGGAAGTGATAGTCTCTGGAATCACACACCTCAGTGGAGGGACCTGGCCAATGCTACTTGCTAGCCATTAAGGCAAGTGATTTAATATCTCTAGTTTCAATTTCCTGGTCTGAAAATAGGATAATAGTTCCTCTGCACTAGGGATTGTTTTGAGAATTAAACAAAGATAAGGTAAGATGATTAAATTAAGATAAAGTAAAGCACTTAGCGTGGAGCCTGGTTTATTGTAAGTATCCAACAAATACTGGCAGTCATTAGTATTATTATTGGGTCACTCGTTTAGATACATGCCAAGAAGTTCCTTGCCATAGAAGGAGATTACAATGAGCATGGAATTAACAGTCTCACTGTTCCAGAAGCCTAGAATCCCAGACAATAGAAAAAAAATTTTTTTTAAATCACAGGATTCAAAATTATAATCTGGTCACAAGGGATGAAAAGATGCTTTTGGATGGGGAAGATCTTTTAGGACAGGGTCTTCTGTAGAATGCACAAATTGTACCAGAGTACCCAGCAGCAGAATACTTATGAGTGTAAGTATTCTTCCTGAGTTATTTTTTTCTTCTGAGTTTGCAAATGCCAGATAAAAATGAATTCCAGAACAATGGAAATCTGAGATGAGAAATGGTTACAGCGAATTTGGCCAGAGTTCCTCCTAAGATGGCCGCAGTCCTTTTGGGATATGTTCTGACAACTTTCCGGCCCCTTTTAAACCTCTGAAAGGGGATGATGTTCCCACCACTTCCCTTGGAAGAATATTGCATAGTGAAATATGACTCACTGTCAGGGCCCTTGCTTTGCGATTCCCTTTCTTCTCTTGACCCACTTTCGGCTTGATTTGCCCTTTTGTACAAAGTCAAATGAAGGCTCCCCTTCAGGAGGCTGCTCTGCAAGGGCTGACATTTAAAGACCATTACCACCTCTTAAACTCAGCCCTGTTCATTTAGCCAAGCAAAGCATGTTTAATTCTTTTAATCTTCCCTCATAAATCAATCTCTACATTCCCTTAATAGTCCTTCTCCCGTGCTTTGAACTCCCTCCAGGCTGGCGGTCCTGAGCTCTCGTTCCGTTTACACTTGAGAATTACCAGTCAATCACGAAATGCCTGTGCAGGAGCACCAGCTGGGCCCAGCCTGGGTTCTGAGTACTCTTGCCACGCCAGATGAAGGGCATTTTGAACCCAGAGGAGAGCACTGTGGCCTTCTGGGACAATGCAAGCTCTGCTTGGTGGCCAACCCTGCTGGGATAGGCTTGCAGCATTTGTTGCCTACTCTACAATGGGTCATTCAAATGAGCCTGGCCCACCTGGCCAACGGTCAAGGGAACTGCATGAGAAGCCACCTAAGACACACCTCTCTGGCTTCTACCCACCAGGGCAAGGAGGGCCACTGGATAAGCCCAGGTGAGGTCTTACCTGGAAGGTCCCAGCATGGTCCTCCTCCTTATCTCCCTCTCTGCTCTCTTTGAGGGCGATTAACGTGAATCCTCTGAAGTAGGAGGGAGGAGCAGCAGAAAGTGTCACTGTGGAGAGAGAAGAAAGCAGGTTACAAGCATAGGAATCAACTGTCTTCCATTTGTTAAATGGAATGGACCTGAGTTCTCCATCAGTTTCCCAGACCTGTGGGTCAGAGGAGCTGTGAACAATGGGAAAGGCTCGTCCACTGAGCGGAGAACTATCACCCTCTTCACCCAGCTTCCTCTTGCATTTCAGAACCTGTTAAATACCTGAGCTGCTATCTCCCTTGGGAATTCTTGGACCAACCAAGGTTGCAGTGAGCTCTCTCCCAGTAAGTACAATGTGATAAAGTTAGTCCCTGGTCAGAAATGCCAATCTTGACTGTTCTCTATGTTATACTTCCATTAGATTGGTCCTACGGGACTCTAGCTTTTCTCAGCACAAACTCCTATAGGATGCTCTTTGTTGGCAGAGGTTGCTGTGTGTTCTCCAAACACATTTTGTTTTTCTTGTGGAGACTCAGTCAGATCACACTCCCCAGCCTCCCTTGTAGTTAGGTCTGCTTGTGCCCACGTTCTGCTAGGAGAAGGCATGGAAGACATGATACGTGCCACTTTCAGTCTGGCCTGTGCAAACTTTTCCACATGATCCTCCACTCTCACCTTCTGACCTCTACCTGCTGAATGCAGGGGATCATCAGAGGACTCTGATGCCTCAGGAGGATGGTGGAGCTACAAGATAGAAGGAAATTAGATTTCTGAATAACCACACGGAGAATCACCCACTGACCAGAAACATCCATATTGTACTTTGCGTGAACCGGAAATAAACTTATGTTGTGGGAGGTCATTTTTACAGCAGCTGGAATTGTGACTCTGTTATACTCTTCCTTCCCACATCTACCCAGGGAACTATTTTTCCATTGAAATCTAGCTCAAGGGCCTTCTCAGCAAGGCGATGATGGTCATCCCTCTGATAGGATCTTTAATCTCGAGATGGAAATCTTTTATTGTAATTGTTTGTACTGAATTGCAATTCTCTGTGGACCTGCCTTCTCCACTGGACTGTGAGTTGTGATGGAGAGCAGCTGGGTTTTCATTCTTCTCTGTATCCTTAGCACCTGCATAGAGCCTGGCATCTAATAGATGTTCAATTCAAATATCTTGATATTGACCTAAGTTGGGATTTAAATCATTTTACTGCCTGCATTAAAGTGTTAAGATTCTGAACTTTAAATACAGAGTTATTGACTTACTAGACCTTCAAGGGATGTCAAGTATCCTGTAACCCAGCCCTCCAAATTCACAGAGATGTCGACAGACATACCCAAAGTCATAAAACCATCCAGAGCCTGACTTAGGGACACAACAGAGGACTCCCCCTCCCTAGTTTAACACTAACCATGGCTTCACAGACTGAATAAATTCATCGTGACATCGATCTTCCACAAGTATTAACTGATTATTAATTTTTTTAATTTTAAAAGCCAGTTCATTAAACATATAATATTTATGTGATTATGATAAGCAACTCCCTGTTGGGAGGAGCATTTAGTCCTCCAAATATCAGCGTAAGGTATGAATGGATTAATACATATAAAGTCCTTAAAAGCATGCCTTGGCATATAATGGTCACTTAATAAATATTAGCTCTCACTCTTATCAGTGATGAGATTATCACATTGCATTATGTTTTGTGATAGTCACCTAATAAATATTAGCTCTCACTCTTATCAGTGATGAGATTATCACATTGCATTATGTTTTGTGTTTATGTGTTTGTTTATACATTTGTAAGTCCTTCAATGGCAAGAACCACATCTGAGCTCATAACAATGATTAGCACAGAGCTGATGTGCAATTGATAGTGTTCATGGACTGGTAGACTCAGTACTGTTAAAGATGTCAGTTTTCCTCAAATTGATCTATAGACTTAGTGCAATCTAAATAAAAACCCTGGCATGTTTTTTATTATATTGACAAGCCAGTTCTAAAATTTATATGAAAATGCAAAGCACCAAGAATAGCCAAGACAATCTTGAGAAAAAAAAGTGTAAAACAGGAAGGCTTACACTACCAAATATCAAGACTAATGCAGCTACAGAAATTAAGCCAGTGGACTATAGCAAGAAAAATGAGCCAGTTGAACAGTTTAGGGTCCAGAAAAGTTCCACAAATATATGGAAACTTGATTTATGATATTTTAAATAAATGATGCTAAGACAACTGGATAGCTATATAGAAAAAGATGAATCTTGGCCCTTACCTTACATCATACACAAAATAAATTCCACATATATTGTAGAGTTAAATGTGAAAAGTAAAACAATAAAGTTTTTAGGAGATAGCATAGGATAAAATTTGAATGACCTTGGAGTAGAAAAGATTTATTAAATATGACATTAAAAAGCACTGACAATAAAGAAGATATATAAATGGGGTGATATCAAATTTTTGCTCATCAAAAGTCACCATTAAAGGTGAAAAAGCAAGTCACAGTGTGGAAGAAGATATCTCCTCATTAGTCAACAGGGAAATAAAAACTAAATCCACAATAAAATATAACTGCATATCCACAGATTGACTAAATTTAAAAGAATTAACAATATCAAGTGTCATTAAATGGAACTTTCACAAAAATGTTATGGAAGTGAAAATTAGCAATATTTGCTGGAAAAATTCTTCAGCAGTCTTTACTGAAGCTGAACATACATATACTCTATACCACATACAGCAATATCACTCATAAGTCAACAAAAATGCAGACATATACACACCAAAAGACATCTATAGGAATGTTCATAGTAACATTACAATCATGCGCTGCATAACAACATTTTGGTTGATGACAGACTGCATATATGCCAGGGGTCCCATAGGATTATAATGGCCATACCATATAGCCTAAATATGTAGTAGGCTATACTGTCTAGGTTTGTGTAAGTACACTTGGTGATGTTTGCACAATGACAAAATTGCTTAATGACGCATTTCTCAGAACATACTCCTATTGTTAAGCAATGCATGACTGTATTTGTAGTAGCACTAAACTGGAAATACTCAAATGTCCATCAGCAGTAGAACAGATATCTAAATTGTGGCATATGCATATAACAGAATGCATATGCCACATATAGTAATGAAAGTGAACAAATCACTGCTACACACAACATGGATAAATCTCACAAACATAATCCAAGGGAAGGAAGACAGGCACAAAGTAATACAAGTGGTATGATTAAGTCTGTATATATTTACATAAAGTTCAAAAACAGGCAAAGTAATCTATGATGATATAGGTCACTATAGTAGTCGCACGTGTGGGAAAGAGAGGGAATGCCATTTGGAAGGGGCACAAGGATGCTACTGGAGTGCTGGTCATGTTCTATGTTTTGATCTGGGTTCTGCTTACATGGGTATATTCAGCATGGGATAACTCACTAAGCTGTATGATTTGTGAACTTTTCCATATGTAAACTATATTTTGAAAAAAAGATTATTAAAATATGTTTCTGCATGGTCAATATCCATCCTTTTGTACATTTGTGCAGTGAATTTAAATGGCTAATCATAAACTCAGCTTCCAAGAATGCTGCATTCCTGTAGGTTCTAGAAAACTAACATTTTACTCTAGCTTATTTAACATGAGATCAAGGCTCTGGAAGCTGAACTCAGTGTGGAGTTTCAATCTATAATCATCACTGGTGATGATATTATTACATAGTATAATTTGAAGGAAGAGAGGAGACCCTATAAGGCTCTGGAAGCTGAACTCAGTGTGGAGTTTCAATCTGTAATCATCACTGGTGATGATATTATTACATAGTATAATTTGAAGGAAGAGAGGAGACCCTATTCCTTCAGAGAACCCCATTATACGACTTTCTCCCGAAAGGCACAAATGTGCAATGTGTTCTGAGTCCCAATGACGACTGAAGATGACTGCCTGGCAATAAATAACAGAATCTTCTCTCTAATGATTCCTCCCAAGTGCCTCTCAAGAGAGGCCATTAAGAGATCCAAGAAATTCAAGAAAAATGCTTACAAGAGATTTTTAAAAGAAAGAAAAAAAGGTCATTTGGAGCCACCCTGTGAGTGCATACAGGGAACTGGTTAAGAGCAAAGATTTAGGATTAGAATCCCAGAGCTGCTGTATTAATTATGTGAACTCTGGAGGTTACTTAACCTCTCTGTTTCCTCATTTTAAAAAGAGAGAGGTTTATGATATTGCTTTTCTTATAGGAATGTAGAGTGGATTAAATAAATATTTAGCACAATGCCTGGCACAAGCAAAGGGTTCAAGAATTGTAAGGAAGATGATGATGGTGGTGGTGGTGATGGTGAAGTTGGGGATGAAGAAGATAATAACGAACACGATGACTGTGATGATGAAGATCACGATGCTCAGCAAGCTGATTAACCAATGATGAGTTTCAAAGAGCTGGTCTTCAGGGACAATGATCGAACCTCCAAAGAAAAACTCTGGTAGAGGCCATTGAAGGACCACTGGGAAGACTGTAATGGAGATAATCATCATTGGGGATGATCCTCACAGGACCAGGTTATGGGAAGATTTGGGTAAATCTTTATAGTGAGCTGAGTCTTCTTGCATCCCATCACATCCAAGACCGAGTGCCCTGTGAGGACCTCTCTGCCCCTCCCACCCCTACAAAATGACACCTCTTTACTCTTCTTGAATACCCTTCACCCTATTTTAATTAAACATGTATTTGTGAAATTATTTGTTAAATGCCCATCTTCCCTAATAACCTGTAAGCTCCATAAGAGCAGAGACCAATTCTGTCTTGAGCTCCACTGCATCTTTAGCAGATAGCACACCTCTTAACACATAATAAATGCCCAATAAATACTTGTTGAATGAATGGATGAAAAAAGGTTCATTTGTCTTCAATGCATAGTTTGCTCCTTCCTGCTCTGGTCCCTCCTCCAAAGTTCCCAAGGGTTACCTTGCATAATACACCAACCTCCAACATCCTTTTGTTTACTGAGCATTTACTCTGTGCCTGCCCAGTGCTATATCCCTGGAGACACAGAGAAAAGACATG